GGGGGGTAGTGGAAAGTATACAGATACACACCTGAACATCCCTGTATGGTTGTTGACATACTCTATGGCAAAGTTAAAAGCTTCAAGCAGCTGTAGACCGTGCTTGCCGTTGATTTCTCCACATGTGTAAGGAGAGTAGCCTTCATTGTGGATGTCAAACAGACCTAGGGGAAATTAATAAACAATGTTATATAATGCCAGCTTTCACGTTCAAACATACACACACGTGTGCGTATGCACACGCATACACACACGCACGTGCATGCAAAATCAATTTGATTGTATATCATTAGTTTTCTAATTTCACTTTGGTTAAGTCAATCATCATATCATCATTTTGGTGAATGTTGTTATGCATTTGCTGGCCCTAATGGCCTGGAGCACCCTCCCACAAAAATTGTGGGAAATATAAAATACAAAGAGTCTTTTAAAACCATTTTAAAAATATATCATTTAGGTCACAAATTTTGTCCTTTTTTTTTTCACTTCAGCAAACATGTAGTTTTTTTGTTCATTCGTTTGTTTGTTTGTTTGTTTGTTTTAGGGAGTGTTTGTCAATGCAATGTCCACTTTAAATTATTAAACAGGATAGAGTGCCATATAAATATTATTATTACTAGCTGGGTACTCGTTCGATGAATGGACTCAAAAGAATCAATCGTCAAGTCATTATGGAATCAGTACGCACTGCTTGTGAACGGAAGCCTCACTTGTTTACAAAGGCATCTTAGAAGACGGACTTTCCCAAGATTAGATCTAAACAAACTAATGAAAAACTGAAAATTAAACTACAGTGACTTCAGACTCATTATAACTATGCACCCTTAAAATGATTCTGAACCACCGTTAACTTTTTAAAATTCAAAAGTTAAGTGGTTTGGAAGTTTTAGGCGACTAAAGTGATGAACTTTCACAAATATAAAATATATAGATTAGTAGTAGTTGTAGTAGTGTTTTTAATACTATTATCAACATTACAATCAATATTGCCATTACATGGCTAAAACAGCACCTGGACATGGATGGCTGGTGCCTCTATAAATAAATCATTGATGGTCATGGACATTTCTTGGCTAAAACAGCACCTGGACATGGATGGCTGGTGCCTCTATAAATAAATCATTGATGGTCTGGTATTACCATTACATGTACTATTAATACTATTTTTGTTATTACTATTTCTATTAATATTATGAATATTATCATTTTTA